TTTTAAGTAGTGCATCTCATTAATGCATGTTTAACTGACCCTTTCTTCCAAATACTCCCCCTTCATCTTGGATTCTTTATCATTTCTGTCATCGTCCAATCAATAGTTGTAGCAGCTGTTTTAGCCTCACCAATATAGATGTCCTAAGACCTATGGTGAGTGGTGAAAATTAATTTTAACTTTTATATGCTTAAAAATTTAAAGGAGGCAAATAATTTGTCATACATATGTGAAAATTACTAATAATCGTTACAGACGTAGCAAGGGAAGTGTACGATAAAGAAGCCACACGAAAAAGGAATACAACCTTCCTACTAACTTGGTTATCCGCTCACTAATACTAGGAAATATAGATTGAAACAAAACTCATAATTCCATTCATTATATTGAGAGATATTGCACTAAAAAAATTAGAGTAAAAAGTTTGTCTTGAATGATAAAAGTTTATTAACAAGATTCCCCAAAACTAACCTTAACATAGTATCCCATTATAAATGAAAAGCTAAAGCGAATTTAATTCCTAAGTGGAAAACAAATCAAACTTTATAAGAGTCACAAATAAGATAATCCAAATAACATATATGAGTAATTCCAACCTAAAACATTGCAAATCTTCCTTATCCTTTTCCATGATTGCATCACTTACTTTGAACTAATTTAAAGTTTAAGGAAGGTTCAAATATATATTCAGTTACATGGTGGATATATAATTTTTCTAATGAACGAAGACAAAGTGAAACTGCCATCAAAGTAAATTTTGAAGCAACGCAACTAGGTTTATACCCTCTAGAAAAATAAATCCCATAAAAGTTCCCCACTCCAATTTTTTAAGACTAAAAAGACAAATGCAGAGAAGTTTAAGCCAACAGAAGTTGAATATGGCACTTACCCAGATTACTGCTTTAACATTGTCACTTGTTAGGGAAATCCCATGATCACTGTTGTTATGAAATTTCAGGAAAATATCTACTAGATCTTTTGTTTCCCAGCTTTTGCTAGTTTTTTTCTTTTTGCTTTTCCTCGTTGTGTTCCTTGATAATTCATTCCAATATCCTCTCTGCCCATTGTTTCGTGTTCTCCATGTTGGGCCTCGCGCTACTGATCACATCAACGAAATTACAGAATGAAGGAAACAAATCCACAAGAAACGAAACACTCCCTAATCCCTTCACTACAAGAAACATGAGTTTTAGCTACCAAAGCATTGGTAGCAGAAACCCCTAATTTTAGTAGCCGAAGGCTTTAGCTACCAAAAAAGTTCAGTAGCGAAAAAATGGTTCCGGAAAGTTTACGTACCAAAAATTTTTTTCGCCACGAAAATCTAAGAATTTTGGTCTCAAAAAAGGGGTCTGACTGGTGCTTGCTACCAAAATTTAGTAGCAGAACTATTTTGGTAGCTAAAAGTCTTCAATCCGCTACCGAAAATTAGCAAAATTTTTACTATGAAAACATGTGGTTGCCGAAACCTTTTGTTACCGAAAGATTGGATAGCTGAAACCCTTTTAGTGGTGAAAAAAATTAGATTCTGATATCAAAACTTTGATAGCAGAATCTACTTACAACAAAAATATTTCAATAGCAAAAACCTATTGCCTCCTAATATTTTGGTAGCAGTAAACTTAGGATGAGAATGTGCTACCAATTATTTCGTAGCAGATTGTTTTCTCTACCAAATTCTTTAGTATCCTGAAGTAATTAACATTTTTTTATAGTAGAAAGGTGACATATATATTTGGTCACAATACTTATATTCTTCACAAATTCGTGCATATAAATAACAAATGGTCAATTTCACAAATAAAAGCCTCATATATTAACGTCTCGAAAAACCATAATAAGTTAAGCATCCATAATAATCTTGAATCTTGCAACAATCATACTTAAACAAATTGTACTTAGTAAATAGACGTGCGTAAACCAACACGAGCCAAAATATTCAAATAACAAGAGTCAGTATTCAACAAATAGAGCGGGTGGTGGGGGCGATGTTAAATTAAAGGGAAAGAGGTGAGCAGGTTCCGGTAGTACAAAAAGCTCCGCGGCCCGGCAGGCAACAAAAAATTTGAAGGCAATGACTTTAACTGATATTTGCAAAACTTAAAAAGAACTTTGGAATACAGTAAGAAATTAAAACTTTGCTAAGTTATATTCTATATATGATAATGATACTATTATAGCACTAATAATTAATGGCAATGGTAACAAACATAACAGCATTTTAATCTACAAGATTCAATATGAAAATATAACTAAATTGCTGCATATGTTATTATATAGTACTTAAAGTAAATAACTTTTAGTATTATTGACTGCTTTTGGACTTTAAAACCATACTTTTCAGTAAGCCCTAATCCAGTAGGTATCCCTCCTGTCAGCAGTGGGTGTGAAGCTGCAGCAAGAATGCCCTCTGCACCAGAAACAAGCACACATATATATATATATATATATATATATGTGTGTGTGTGTGTGTGTGTGTGTGTGTGTGTGTGTGTGTGTATACGTATAAAATAATGACCAAAAAGATAATCTACTTTTTGACTATTAGGAATTATTTTGGTAGTAGATATGTTGGGTCCTTGACTTGTTCTAATCCAAAGGAGTAAAAATTAAAGGGTTAATGTTGAGACTCAAATATTCAAAGTAGTATTATTTTAAAGGGTATTTGTCAACATCACTCAATGTTTAAAAATTTAGTGAGCCCAAGTAGACCTAAAAAGTAACCTAATGAGTACTTAGGGGTATACTCATGGGAAATCAGCTTAAGAAAAATCCTGAGGCTTTAATTAATTAATGAAGTCAAGAGTTATTGGACATTTAATTAATTAAATAATTAAATGATTCAACTATTTATAATTAGAAAATAAGATAATTAATTAGCAAGTCGGACTTATATGGATAATCAATTAATTGATTAAGGAATGAAGAAATTAATTAGTAAGTATAATTATTTGAATCGGTTAATGAAACCATAGAACGAATTAATTAATTAGTAAGTCAAATTAATTAATGTGTAAGAAGAATACGGCTAAGACAGAAGAGGAGGACTGAATAGGATCAATTAATTAATACAATAAATTATTCTTAAGACTAGATCTGCAAGACTAAATCAAGTTAAGTTGGAATATAGATAATAAACTGACGACTGATCATCAGTACTGTTGAACATAAAACAAACGACTTTAAAAGAGTGAGTTGCTTTGGATAGACGCAGATCTCGGAAGTCGAATGGGAGGGTAATTATCGTCGGATTTCAAATAGGAGAATTATAACTAATAAAATTTATGATGGCCTTGGGTTAGTCGAACTAAATATTTCGGTCGCTCCCTCACTTCCTATGGTCATTTGCATATGCGTATGTGCATAAGACTCGAAGAATAATTTGAATTTCATAATGAAGCATAAGTGGTCCTGCAGTTTCTAATATGCAATTATGTTTGAAAGCTGTTTTTGTGGGGAATATTTGTACTCCCTGAGCTTTAGCTTTGTTCATGCCGTAGGTAAAATGCCTGCAACTCATTGATGGGCTTCGCAGTGAAGGGTGTGTACGATGGAGGGATTGGGCACACAGCTAGTTCCGCTTATGGTTAACATGATTTTAGATTATGGTTTAAATAAACATGTTTTATGTTATGAGCATGAAGCTTTACCTAGAGCACACTCAATTTTGTTAAGTTAAAGATGATGTAGGGAGATTTACCTATAAGTAGTCGTTTTTATATATTTGCTACGTCGTTTATTTTAGCTTGTTAAATTTAGCTTTGTTTTGTTATTAGTATGACGTTTGTGTTAGTGGATATTTTGCTATCGTTTTATGTGTAGATTATAAATAGCCACATTACATGTTATATGTGTGACTTGATTATTGAGTTTTGAATACAAAGAAAAGTGTATTCTCTGTAATTATTTCATTTTTTTTTTTTTTTTGGTGCGGGGTAGGCGGCGTGGCGCTGCTTGTAGGATTTCTTTAGGTATATTTGGGATTGTATGTCCTACATTCCGTTTGGATTAGACCGGTAAAATCATTTTCTATCCATTCAAATGCGTCATAAGAGCATTTGGAATTGGATTGAATTTGCAAACACTATACCTTGCTGATACACTTGTTCGAACTCATGTTCCGAATCATTCAAGTTATTTCCGCAACTTACTTGAGTGAAAAATAGTTTATCCTAAAATAAGTTTTAAAAAAGTCTCCGAAATTTTGGTGACTAAGTGTTAAGTTTTAAGATGTTAATTAAGTTTCTGTTATAAGCTATGATCAGTAACGGCTCGAGAAGCCAGGTTGTCATAGAAAGAAGGCAAAAAGGACTGTGAAAGAGCTGGGGGGTAATGTGGACTGATCCATGTTGAAAGTGCGGTGGAGTAGCTCGCAGATCGATGTTGTGCTTATTTTGTGTGTGTGAACAAGATTCAATGTCCTTTGACTTTATCTGTAATGTCTGAGAAATTGTGCATTTCGCCGATTCGAGTTTAGAATTCGAGTTTTGCTACAATAAAAAGCTCTCAGAAACAGTTACATCTAATTTTTTTACTACAGTAAAAATCTCTCACACAAAATCACATCTCAATTCGAATTACAAACTCGAATCAGCGAAGTGAACGGGCCTATAATGTCTTATGCGGAAATACTGACCAAGAAACAAATTCATGTAGTGATTTTTCCAAATCAGCATCTCCAACAAAAGAGGACATATATTGTGATTAAGGTACATGTTTACCAAGATGAGCACAAAAAAAAAAAAAAAAAAAAACCAGAGCATGTTAACCGAACAGTACTGGAGGAATATGATGGGAAGGTAATTATGAATTTGAAAATAAAAGGAAAGGAATATTAATATGGATCACTTATTCACTTTGTAGTGTTTGCGTTAGAAAATGTAATGAAAAATAATCTGATTCCTTTAAGTGATTACTATACTTTAGGCGTGGAATTACTATAATGAATAGGACATTTTATGGAAGAAATCTAACTAAATGAAGCAAAAATATAGCTTCCTAAAATTTTATAGATCAGTACAAATATATATGACATTATCAATCATTTCGGAACTTATTCTTGAAGTGAAAACAAAGTCATTTTCACAATTAATTTACATCAAGCATATGAAATAAGCTGAACTTTTAAGTTCATTCAACTTGATTTATTTCCTTTTCTCTTCTAGTGTTTAAAACATTCATGCCGGAATGATTGTACAGCAAGATTCCTCTATTCGGTAGCTACGCGTTTGAGTAAAACAAATAGACTGATCGCGTTTCCCGAATCGTAAATGAAGGATGAGTTTTCTTCCAATTTCTTGTAGAATAAATCGAAGAGCTCATCTAAAATCTCCTCTCCGAAGTGCTCCTTTATTGTTCCTCCCATGCCAGCTCTCAAGGTAGACGAAATTTCTTTTGGTCGAGCCCTTTCTAGCGGTACGCTCTCAATTATTTCTATGCTGAAGCATCCTTGTCGTTTTACTACTGCTTCCATTTCTTGCGGAGACGCAAAATATGTTCCCACATTAAAGGAGTCCACAAGTTCATTGTTGATCATACCCTGTCTCCGGAAAGAACAAATTAATAAACTGTTTAAGAACATGCATAGCACATCTTCAGTGATCACATCTTCAGCTTAAGCTTTTGGGATGGAATGGTAAAATAACAAATATCAATAGAATTAAGGAAAATTTCCGCGTATGATTATGACATGGCTTATGCAAAGCGCAAGCAGGCAGAACATGAAATTGGGATACTATATGAATAGATAGTGATAGAACAGAGATTTTCATTTATTACAAAAGAGGGTAATCTTTGATTACCTTGTTCGCCACGTCCACGAGGCAGGACCCCAGGACTTCACATGTCCTGTTAACAAAGGCTTCGGAATGAGGAGTTCCGTTGGGGCGTCCGGGAACAATTAAGGCCAACAATCCACCATGAACAATCTCTTCTGCTCTGGTTTTAAGAAAGCTTTCCATGTCTTTGGCGTATTGAGTTTCATAAGCCTTTACAACTTCATCCGTAGAATTCGAATAGTGGATTCTTCCTTTGTTCCAAGCAGGAGATTTCCTGTCCATGACCTCTTTTGGCAATCTAGAAAAAACATTGGCAGCATATGAAGAGTGCACGAAGTGAAGGGAGGCTCTCGGAAATATTCGACCGTGGAAAGAACCCGGCACTCCCACGGCGAAATACCGCCTTTCCTGAGGGAGGGTTGTGAAAAGGTGATTGAAATCATTTGATGCATGATCATTGAAGAAGACTTGAAACTCTGGTGGATGAGAAATCTTTTCCTGGTTTTGAAACTTTTGTTCCAAAGCGTCGATTATGTTTTGCACCGCCACGAATGTGTTAGGCCCAGCTGCGCAACCCAAGTCAGCGAGTCGGAAGGTGTTTGAAGATGAAAGGATATCGGCATCAAGTTTCTCAGCAATCGACTTGTTTATCAGTTCTTTAGCAGCATCTGCAGCCTTTCTCTGAAAAATAGAAAATCGAGTAATTTTTTTTTGGTAAAGTTTCTTCCTCAAAAACCATGCATATTCCTGAAAATTGAGTTCAAATATATATTGCTGTAATATTTGAAGTGAAAATTGTACCTGAAAGTTGGAGTTCTTGCTATAGCTATATTGGCCACTTCCACCTGTTATTGTGTATGCAACTGCTTCTGTTTCTTCCATGACCTTCGTTCTAAATATGTGTCGTTTTTGCTTACTTATCGATTTCCAATTGTATCCTGAAAACTACAAACGAAGGCCATTATATATATATATATATATATATATATATATGATATATATGTCGGCTATGACTTATCTCTAACGTATTTAAAAGACTAAGTCAAAAAAATGTAACATGATCTTTCGAAACAGCACATTTTCTTGACTTGACTCAGTGGCCACCTAAACTAGGAAAAGGCGTAAACCTCTCATTTTTATTTATTATTTTTGGAGGAAAATGTGTCCCAAATTAAAGAGATACATAATGAAATGCTCAAAGAGAGTAAATGTGTACCAAGATTTAATAACGAAAAGCTGAAAAAGCACGACACATACGGCTCTTTAAATAACTCTACAATCGATGGAAAACGTCGATCAATCATGACTAGGAGACCTATATAAACCATATTAGTTCACTCACAATATTGTCGAGAACAAAATCAAGCACGGAAATAAACAAATTATAGTGACATTCAACTAACACCTAACATTAACTTTAAGAAAAGTCAAATGTGAAGACTGGTCATATAATATTGTTTTATCATTTCAACATTCTGAATTGAATAGAATATAAGGACTAGTCATATTATATGTTGTCATTATGGAGTAAGGAATATACTTTTGATAAAAGATGTAATCACTCATTACACAAAACATGCACTATTTGCTTGTTAGATTCAAAACAACTTAATCGGAGAGAGATTTTATTTAAATATTTTCCATAAATCTTCTTGATTGGAGAGAGATTTTATTTAAATATTGTTCATAAATCTAGTTGAACAAGAAAGAAATTGTTTTCTTCTTTTTTGTTTATTTTATTTATTATATTTCTTTGCTCAACAAAGGAACTTTAATTATCGAATTTGCCTGCATTACAAGAACTATGTGATCGACAACTCAGTACGTAAGCAGTAAATTAACTTTCACTTTCAAAATACATCTTTTTAACTTTAAGGCCTTATTGTATAACGTTAATCATGTATTATTAGAACCCCTTATATGTGATCCCTATCTTGAAAACTCTTATTATTTAATGATTTGGCCATTATCATTTTAACTATTAGTTCATAATCACAAACGTAAGCTATAACATCATACTCAGAAAACACTTTTAAAATCACATAAAAGCAAGTCAACATTAATATATATAAACTAAAAAACTTTTTTTACATACTACTTTCAGGTGATGCCGTGCAAGATCTGCCTAGAAACTTTTTGCTCCAAAATAGAAGGCTCTATTTTTCTTTCGCACTCTTTCTTCTTCGTCTTCCTTTTTCTTTTTTCATCTTTCCTTTTCTTCTTTGTTTTCATTTCTTCACGTTTCTGTCGGTCCTCTCTACTGTTCCCACGCGTTTATGTGCTTAGAAAGCCACATATATAATAACACATAATATTTAGTATCAAGTTCGATTGAATTGTAAGCCCTTGTGGCTTATGAAGATATCCTTGTCATGCTAATATACAAAAGGCGAAAACTATTTTATTGACGTACACCTCATGCTTACATTTTCTATCCTTATCTCCTTCATTAGGTCACCTCCTACTTAAGTTGATAAAACTATTCTATCACTAAGCTAACTCTTACTTTCTATCTTTCCACATCTGAATCTCCTTATCTTTGCTAATAAAATATATAAAGATAATAAAAATATCATATTCCTTATAATGGTCTACAAAGACAAATTTCCATTAAGTCTATTTCTTAACTAATTAGCTTGAAGCTCAAAAATGGTGAGTATTACGAAATGGGATTTGATTGTTTCCCCTTACATTTTCTAATAACTTAAACACTGTAAATGAAATCAACGATCATATGTACTAATCAATAAAATACCTTATCAAAACAAATAAATAAAATAAAATAAAAAACTACAAGAGACACGTCATGTACTGATTGAAGTGGAAAATATAATTTCTTACACATAACACATAAAAACAAGAAACATTGCAATTGATGAGATCACAGTACTGTCCTATTATGGGAGAAACTTCTTGATCACATGCTTCATGCGATCAAACTTTCAAACAAATTGGTCCAAACAAATCACTCTTATCTAAGAAAATTAACACACTCTATTTATATATCTAGACCTCAAGAAACAAGATCCTAGATGAAGCAACAATATTAATCACAACCAAAAATCTAAACTAATTATAAGCCTGTCAGTTCTGCTAGCAACTCCAGTACTGCACTTTCAACATGGAGCTCAAATTACCCTCTTTTGCAAACCTTTTCACCTTCTTCCTCTTTGTGTTTATGTTGTTGAAGATATTTGCAAAAAGGGCAAAAATCGTCAGCTCATCTTCAAAACTACCCCCAGGAACAAGGAAGCTCTCCTTTGTGGGAAATATGCTCCAGCTTCTTGGTTCCGATTTAGCTCATCATACATTTAGAGACTTGGCAATTAAACATGGACCCTTTGTGTACCTGAAGATCGGACAAGTTCCAACTGTAGTAGTTTTATCACCGGAGTTCGCCAAGGAGGTCTTGAGAACCCATGACACTAATTTTGCATTTAGGCCCCGGATACTTTTCTCACAGATTGTGTTATATGATTGTAATGACATTTCCTTCGCTCCGTATGGTGAATTTTGGAAACAGCTACGAAAGATTTGTATGCAAGAGCTCTTAAGCACAGCAAGAGTTCAATCTTTCAAACGCATTAGAGAAGAAGAGGTGTTCAATCTTATGGAATGGGTTGCTTCAAATGTTGGATCTGCTATAAATCTCACAAAGAGAATACAATATACAACATATAGCATCATTTCGTGGGCAGCCCTTGGTGAGAAAAACAACACACTTATACTAAATTTCAACAATTTCAAAACTCATGATCCAGTTTCAATATCTATAATCCAAAATTCAAATTATATACTAATTCTAAAATCTATAAATCAAAATTCAAAATCTAAAATCTATAATCCAAAATTCAAACAACAAAAAAACCCAAACATTTTAAACTAAAAAACACAATAAATATACAAAAAACTTATAAAGTTCAAAACTCACTAAAACGGTGGCTGAAAATGACAGAATTAAGTGGGAGGAACCGGGCAAACGGCGACGGCAGCGGCGTCGGTGGCGGAATTTGGCGGCGAGGGCAGGTAGTTTGTTTCTTACACTTTTTTTAATGAAAAAACAATGAAAATCTTTAAAACTTATGATAAAGACTGATTTTGTGAGGATTTAGAAGGGAATAGGGGAATGTTTTCGGACACTACAACAAATATCATTATTAATAGCTGACCAAAAATGCTATTAAGCACTACCAATAGCATTTTGTGGAGTGCTAGGACATCGTGCGCTATTAAAAGTCCTACAAAAACATAGCGTTCTAAGAACGCTTTGAAAAATGCTACAGAATTGAGATCTTATAGCATTTTAGACATGTTATTTTCAGCCTCTTACAACTATTTAGCCTTATTACAGTACAGATCAATAGCTTTTCTCTCTTGTTATGTTCTAACTCCTATAGCTTTTTAAAATTATTATTGAATAGTTTAACAATCCTAAAACTAGTACAAACTAACGTTCTATCTATTTTTATTATATTAATATCCTTTTGAATTCATTTAAATAGATGGTGATTCCGAGCAACATCTTACATCCAAATAGGAACATTCAAATTAAAACATAAAACATTCAATGTAATAATTGTGATTAGTATCTATCAAGTTGGCAATAAGATGTCTACAACATAAGTCACACCATTTGTCCAAAATCTTAACATTCAAAACAAGTAAAGAATACAGAGAAATAGCTAGAGATATCAAAATATCCAAAACGTCTAGCTAAATGAAGATCCTGACCCATTTTTTACCGGCATAATCAAGAACGAGCAACAATACTCGATCAGTTTTCATATCAACTCAATTAAAACATAAAAAGTCAACCAAGTGTGCAAAAGCTCGAGATCAACAGTTGGGGGTAAGAAACTTACTAATTTACCAAGTGCAATTAGAAAGTGCATTCCACTTATATCTTCACGAGATTTCAAGTAGTAACGGCTACTTGCGACGACAGACTCAAGTCGCTTGGAAATAATCCATCTTGACAAAATGCTAAATGAAATTGTGAAGTAAATAATCCATCTGGAGAAAATGCTCTAACAAAAAAGTCATCTCCACTATTTAACCTGTAAGAAAGTGATCCATCCTCAAAACAATGATCAATTATGCTAAAACTTCCACCATTTAACCTGTCAATAAAGTAAGAACTAGTTACACTATGCACAACTACATAGCTAAGTTGCATAGTTGGAGAAAGCTGCATTAGTCTTCGTTGCCTACATACAAACTCTGAAAAGAAAAAAACGTGCTATCACAATCTTGCAAAAATGAAGACAAAAATAGATTCATTTAAGCTTTAAAATATAATGGTTTACTGAGAAAATATTTGCATGAATTAGAGATTGGTCATACCCCTTTAAAATTTTATCGGCAGGCCATGTCATATTACTTGAAAGTGCTTCTTCAATTGTACGCATCTCACTTGTAGGCCTCCACAAGACAGCATCCGGTTTTTTTGCGACATCGACCCATACTCGAACTGCATTCGGTCCAAGAGGTACATGGTGAACTCAGTCTTTCGGGTTGCTTGGCATCAAACCCCCTTGAACAACAACTTCCCCGGTTTCAACCGGGTCTTAGTTTATCAGGAGAATCTCCCACATAAATATTGTAGTATCCATTGAAATGCAAAAAATGGGACAAAAATACATATACAATGCAGAGCTCCGCTAACAACAACCTGTATAACCAGCTGGCATAGAAGAGCAAAATTATGATGAGACAAAATATTTTCATTCATAAGATGAAAAACAATTACATGCTTTGCTCCACATGCTACATAGTTGAGAATCTCAACATGATATGAACATGTACTATATCTTTCTTCATTTTCTTTTCTCGGTAGGGCCCGTAAGGGCAGGAGGGAATGTATCGATTACTTTAATATCATGTTTAAATCCACTTAAAGGAGTGGTTCTAATAAGAGCTATTTAGATTTCGCTATCTTGGTATGCCTTTGATGACAAGGAAGTCCATGCCGATGAAAGGGCAGAAACATCTAAAATTCCAACGAGTTACTGGGATTTTTATCAACTATCAAGAGGTTTATAGGTAAAGGATGCTTAGCTAAGCAAAGATGGTCCACTAAATAAGATATTAGTCCACTCAAATCAGCAAAAAACATTTAATGAACACTTACAAAAGTACTCTTTCTAAGTACAGCATTATATGTCCGATGCATAGTTCAGAAACAGATGTAACCTGCATTGATCACTCCATTGGACCTTGCAAATCCAGAAAGAGCAAACCAAAGAACGACAATATTATTTCTCCCAGATATCAAGTGATACAATCCTCCAATTGAAAATAGAGCATACAAACTCTCCGAATATCTGCGTGGGCAAAAAGGCAAAATGAAAATCTCAGCTTTGTAATCTTTTACATCAATCAATTTAGAACGGAAAACAGAAACAACTATTACATTGAGGAATATAATATGGAAGTTGGATTGAAGCAAAACGAGATTGAAGCTCTAAATGCCGCATCCCGGTCCTTCAAAATGGCAACTGAAAGCCTATTATAGTGACCAAAAAAAAAAAGAGCAAGACATCAGAATTCACACTAAAAAACTATGACAGGTCTAACAAAGCTTGACAAAGTTTCTAAATTTATGGTGCTAAATAACTAACTTACTGATAAATGTAAACCACTGCAAAGACAAAGGCAATGTTGTTGATCACATAACCGGATAGTCCCAAAACAGCTCTTTGCCCTATAACTGGAACCAATGGAGCAAAAACTGAAACAGAAATCCGCCATTAAAACGCAACGTCAAACGAAACGAAGAGAATTGCGTAATTTCCAATTAGGTACAAATCGAAAGCCCGAATCTTTGGGGTCGAACCTATTCATAGGAAGAAGGAGATGCAAAGGGGAAGCAGAGGTAAGAAGGCGTAGGACTGCTCGTACTCGTAGCCACACTGCGCGATCTGGACGAAGTAGACGTTGTCCCAGATGATGCTGGACTCGATTGCGGACGCCAAGGAAGGCCAAAAAAGGCGATGCTCTTGAGGTGGCGGCAAGGTGGTTTTGGAAAGGCAATTGAGGTTGAGCGGCACGGAGGTGTCATAGTGGCTGAGGAGGCTCATAAAGGAACAAAAAAGCCCGTCCAAGAAAAGAGAAAAAACAAAAGGCTCTTCGACATAATAGGGGAAGAGGGAAGTTAGGGCTTTTTGTGACGACCCTCCTATGAGGCCGCCACCGTAACTTGAACTTTAACTTGTAGTTACTGGGGTTTCTTAAAATTTGCGGAACATTTTTTTTTTCTTTAAACATAAGAAGGAATATTTTCATAATTCGTAACAATAATTTCAAAAGAATGAATCACTAAATTACTTAAAGCTTTTCTTAATTTAGTTAAGATAAAACCTTCTAAAAATATCTTTCGAACTGAGTGACATTTGAATTCTTGTTTCACATACTCTTTAAAAGTCTTTCTAAAACTAGCCATTACATTCAGGCCATCTAATTTGACCTTAAAACGAATTTCGTGAGAAATCTTAAATTCAAGTACTTCTTAAAGTCCTTTCAAAATCAATCATTTAAACCGTCATGTGGAAAATTCGTTTATTTGTTGCATGCACTATTGCAACGTTCTAAAACTTAAAAACTCAAGACTAGGGTTGTTAGCTACAACCTCAGTTCTCTTAACATACATATGTACATATACTTTTTAAACATACGTGCTTGAAACCTTTGAATCATATATACATATACATGATTTTACTTTAACTTACTGTGAAAGATTTAATTGTGAGTGGTATCCATTCCCATCTCCACCATTCGTCCGCCGCTCGCCATTGCCCTTCAAGAATTACTGATAGGTTTCTTACCTACAGCATGAACATATCTGATTGAGCTTTCGCTCAGCAAGTAGGAACTATCTCTCGCAAAATAACTGTAAGTTCACATGTATAAATATGCATGAGCTGATTATGCTTAATTATGATGTCTTATCATAGTCTTATTATCTTATCTTATCTTTCTTACTGATGGGCCCGAGTGCTCGCGTACCACTTGCGCGCAATCATCAGAACGTGAGGGTTTGCAAGGTCCCCCAAGACACCGTGATTATAACTTGAATGCCTCCCTTGAGTCGGATGACATTATTGTTATTTTCTTTTTTTCTCCCTTGTGGAGCTTGAGTTACCTCCCTTGTGGAGGCTGGTACGGCACTCAATTGATATTATTCTTATAAGTTCCTCTTGACTTATTAAGGTGTATGCAATATGACATAGCATAGCATACTATAACATGGAATGTACTCAAACGCATATACTTCATGTGCACTGCTTAAGTGTATGCAGTATGATCTAGCATAGTATACATAACATTAAATTAACTCGAACACATATAATTCATGTACACTGCTTATGTGTATGCATCATGACATAGCATCGCATACAATACTTAAAGCATAAACATGCATATATATCACGTGTAACTTTTTCTTTAAAATCTATTCATACTGTAGGCGAGATTCCTACTTACCTGATTTACAGAGCTGGAATCCACTTTTCGCCAAACAACCTATTCTCTTACTTGCTTACTTCTGAAAATGAACACCCATTGAGAGTGTGAGATTATCTGTCGTTTGCTATTTTATTTTAGTAGCTTAAGAAGGAAATCTAGCCCATTACTTAAGGCATGTATTCCTTTCCTTTACTGAAGGATAATTTACTATAAGGATCAATTTATTAAATCCTCAAAATCTTATTTTCCTTAATTGCCCTTAGCATACTTATGTCTAGGTTGAAAATCATTTACCCAATCTAGTAACTTATTCTCCATAATTTTTCCTCATTGGACTCATTATATTATTAAGGCCCAATTCGGCCTAAAAACTTATTCACGGCATTCTAGCTCTTAGGCCATTGAAATTTAAACTCTAACAGAGTTTCTTAATTTAATGTGGGCGTTGGACCCACATCAAATCCTCGAATTTCTAAGGACCTATCGTGTTGGGCTTGTAAGTGCCCGTCGGGATGTTTTGCTCGAAAACTATTAAGCTTTTAAAAGAACTATCATTCAATTTTTATGAAATGATAACTCACTCATTTAGTTACAAGCACTAAAGTCCCGTTGTAAAATCTCTTTTCGAATATCGACTTTTGAAAACTATTCCCCAAGTCGTTTTACGGTTGGCTTGTAAACCACCATGAAACTATGTTGTAGAAACTCCTTTTTCTTGAAATCTTTCTTCATGGCTATTCCTCATTAAAGTGAGGTCTAAAACTATATTATTTTACTGAAATTCTATCTCGGGTTCTTTTATAACTTTTTGTTGAAACCGACACTGTTTTAGTTTTGTCTCGTTAAAAACTGTGCAGTTTTTGAAATCTACGTTTTACTATATCTTCGAGTCGGATTTCAAAATTTTGTTCTTCATGAAAATTTCTCATCTCGTCGAGATCTAAAATTGTCATTTTTTGTGAAAGTTGAAATTCGGCCTCTATAGGCCCCGTTTGGCTGAAAGCCGTAGCTGCTGCTTTTCTTGAAACTGTTTTAGTCAAAAACTGTGCCGTTTTGGGAATCTGTGTTTTAGTA